AAATATGCAATCGAAAGACTTTCAGTCTTGCGTGAGAAATGCATCTTCCTTCCAACCCATATGAGATCAGATCACTTGTGCTGAAATTCAATCATGGCTTAACTATCTAGGCGCTACATATCGCTCATCGAGGAGACTCTTATAATATATAGATTTAGCCAAGCCTAAAAGCGGAGCTCGCATTTTTTTTCCCGCACGTCTCAAGGGCACAACACCCAGGTCGTCCGACTCAGAGCCCAGTGCTTTGACCACTGGACTACTGAACAAAGCCGTGGCGTTGACGTGTCCGCGGTACAGTTGACCACGCATGTTAAAAGTAGCACCTTGTACGGTCGTGCGGTCGTACGGTTGTACATTCAAATTTTTTCGGCTTGATGGGTTACCACTATTTTGTATAATTATGGGGCTACGCTCTGCGAGCTCCGCTATAAATGGCTACATCTGTTACACCTTTTTAATTCCTGTTATTTTTAAACCCTTAAAATCTCAAGATCTGAAGAGCAATTCTACTTTCCTTGAAAACTAGACTAGTAACCTACTAGTTATATGGAGGTAATATCGGCAAGTTTTTTTTTTTTTGTCTTTTCTGGTCGCTTGCTAATTGTTGCAATTTATTCATATTGGAAAAGTCACATGTAATCTCTTCAGTAGTAAACTGAGAGTAAAAGCCGATAGTTATAGCTGGGAAGCAAAATATGTTATCAGCTTCAGCCGAAACGATTTCTCACACTTATACTATCCTACTGTATTCATAACAAATTGTGCCTCCCGCAAGATTTACCAAAGTGATTCAGTTCCTCTGAAAACTATCAATTAGATCTATCAGATCATCAACTTACAGATGAGTACCAATCCATGTGTATCCGAGTCATAGGTTAGAGATCTCAATGTCAAAAGCCATCATCTAAGTAACTGGGTTGATTATTGTTACTTATCATGTCGTTCATTTGCATTGTCTTCTTCCTTCTCATACACCATATAGAGTCGCTTCAACTGAAGTCCTGATATGTTCTTCTGTAAGAGACTCTGCCTTTCAAAGGCTCTTCCTGGTAACTCTGCTGGTTCTTTATCCGTGCATTCGACGGATGCTGTTGATCATGAGAACATTTTTAGATTAATAAAGCCCCGATTACTAGAAAAGCTATATAGTATTACGTTACGGTTCGTGCATTAGCAATCACATAGTTTTAAACTCTACCCCACACCCCACTGATACCCAACACCCCACGCCGAATTAGGGCGTTATGGAAATACGCACTTTTCCAACATATCAAACATGGCAATTAAAAAACAGAGAGGACTGGGCTTGCTGATGATAATACGCTTGGCTGAGCTTAATTGAGACAATCAGTAGTTGTATTTGTGACAGAGATATTGCTGGAGCTGGCGACAAAGAATGAAATATTAAACTATACTTCCATTACTTCTGCCCTGTATACAGGCGAGATTATCAGAGTGGAACGCATTTTTGTGGTAGGATTTATAACTTCATGTACACAACGATATCTAAATTGCCCTTCCTATACCACAATGCAAAACCACGATGACATAATTGCAGTGACCCTATCATAGATTAAGCTATCGCAAACAAATTTATGGTTTTTCGAACGTTGTAGATGTAGCACTCAAGGCTTCCTAATCATTTTCAATTTTCAATCATATTTAGTTTGACTAGCCAGCGTTATTTCAAATCCAGTTAATTCGGAACCGTTAACCTTAAATGCAAAAGAAAAAGAGAATGATTTTCTTTAATTTGAGCCATTGTCCAATAAATGAAGGAAGGTGAAGGAGATAACAATATCAGATGATGAATTTGTTGAATGAATTTCTTGTCACTCCACAATATAGTTTCCAGCGTCATGGTTTGACGTCAGTACCTCATCATTATTCAAAGTTACGGGACACCGAATAAATATTTAGGGTCGGTTATTTTCACGGGGTCTAATTCAAGCCACGGTTTTACGTAATCAGTGGGTCCCAGGCTTTCTCTGAAAGAGGGTTGATTTTATGAAATAAATGTCCTTCTACTGTTAGCTTTCAGTCGTACTGAAAATTTTCACAAAAATAAAGGTTCACATCAACGGTCTAGTTAAATTGAGGATTTTTTAGGATGCGGTTTTGTTAAACTGCGGCAAAACTATGTTTAGGTAACGGTCCAAAGAATCCGTCTGAGATGGACGACAGAATTGTCGTGCTATAGAAGCTAAAAAGCGTCTTTCTAATCGTTGGATTTAACAACTTAAGCCTTTTTATTTGCTTATTTAATCCCAGAAATTCAAACTTTGCAAAGCTCTAATAGAGAGGTCGAGAAGGGGCAAAATTTGTTCCCTACGACACTTTGGTTAGTTAGAAGTTCTGCATGCACTGAAGTTTGCATGCGCTGCAGAATGCACTCTGCGTCACTTAATAATCTTCATGAACAAGCAATCCAGCGCAAAGACTCAGAGGCTGACTGTGTGATCAGTCAGCTCGGCTACCGATCAAAGTTTTGACGTATACCTCCTCGTCTCGTCGTTCGTGGCTGCGTTTGAGGGCTTCGAGTCGATTCATCTACTAAAAAGTTTCCTGTTCTGACTCATTCATATATTTTCTTCCGCAATAACATGTTTTATAATAAAGTTCGGATATAACGCGCGCTGTTATAGGGAAGTAGCAACAGGAGAACTAAAAAAAGGTTTGTAAACATGCCAAGCGCCATAATTTACGTTATTATAACTTGAGCAGAGACGAAAATCCTCATAATGAAAACGAAATGGACAGTCCGACTTTTGAAGGTTTTCACGTTACGTTTAGATTGCAAGCTTATGAAAGGTAATAAAAATCAAACACAGCTAACACTCTGGCACTCGAACTGGTATAACTGTTAAAATTCATACTAATCATAACAGTATCAAAGCGACTGCGATCATGCTAGGGTCCATCGCGGTTAGCTCATCATGGCGATCTCCGGTCAATGCAATAAAGCAAGCCTCAGAAATTACACCGGCCGCCCTTCGAGCGATCAACTAAGAGCTTGCTCTGGTATCCTTTTCGATGTGTTGAGTGGAAGGCCACATCAGTCAAAATAACCGAGTTTTACGGCGCTGTCATTCCAAGCAATCTTTATGTTCATTCATTAACACACGCCTTGAGCAGTTTGTTCTCTAGTTGTCTCAATAAGTTTCTCCCTACACTTCATTCGGGCTGAAGTCGCTTCCTGCGTGCTTTACAACAGAACAGAGCATAGTCAAGGCTTTTCTATTTTTTAAATTATGTATAGACGTCAGATTAAATTCCCAATCCTACACGCAAGGTAGATCACGCCACTTTTCGAGCTCTTTCACTGGTTCTGGACCCGGTGTCTAATTTCGGTACTATCGTTATTCCTTTGAGAAAATGGTTTTTTTTTGGCTTAAGTTTTCATCCGGCTGTGCCATAAGGATCCTTAATGGTTTGAGTTTTAATTTAGAAGGTTGGAAGAAAGTTGAATGGGTTTGATATCTATCTATGTGAATAGCACGAGCAGGAATGTCCAAACCTCGCCGCATATTTGCTTTGTTCACAGGGCGTGACGTAGTTCACATTTAGTTTTAGTTTTTTTTTTGTATGTAAAATAAACCTCCCACCCGCGCGCTCAGCTCTTTCCCGCCATAACTTACACGCACGTGTCGCCACCTTTCCACCGCCCGAGATCCTGGTCAGGTTTCTCCTTATTTATTACATCGCTTTGGTTCCATTTTCAGTTTGGTTTTTCATTACTCGAAAGTTTTAAAGAGTTAACATTTATGTGGGCACGTATAAATAGCATGTGCAGGAAATATTGCCATCTTAGATTCTGAATCACGCAGTATCTTTGCTTTGTTTACATGATGTATCGTAATCTAATTTTTAGAGACAGCTGAAAGAAAGCTAACCTTTCCCGCCCCCGCGAGAATTTATCCCATAATTTCCTCCTTACGTGTGTCTCAAACATTCCTGCCCACGCCAGAACGGTGTCGCATGTCTTGCAAATTTTCTATACGTCAGCTTTTTTCATGCCATCTCAAATCAGATATTTTGGCTACAAAACCAACGGTAAAAAAAAAACTTGCGTAACGTATCTGCCAATGGTTTGGACTTTGTGATATGCGTAAATAATGTGAAGCGTTATGTTCGTTCGTTCGTTGTTTTGCGAACATAGTCAACACTTGATAAATATTCATGTTTCCTTGCATGATATCTGACTGACTTGAATTTCAGCTTTCATTACGCGAAATTTTCTCTCGAGCGCGATCTACTTCTTCTATTCCTTCTTTCACTCATTCCCTCTCTTTCCTAAACTTATTTTATCCAATTTTTTTTCTAAATTGCAACACCGTAAAAAAAACAAGTTCCTATGATACCCTTCTTGCTCATAGATAATGCGTAATATTTCACTTGTCATGCTTTTCACCTGTGATTTTCTCTGATAGCTTCAACGGAGCCGAGTAGTTATCGGTATCCTGGTTAGGACGCCATGCACACAATGATCTTAGAAAACTTCCGATTCCAAAAAGACACGATGAAATTTTCGCCTGATAGTGCGTTGTCTCCAAAAACCTTCACAGGGGCATCAGAGTTCGTCCCAGTCCATGCTTACTTTACGAGCCACGTGGTCAGAACGGGACTTCGATCATACTTAGTAAAATTACATTCTATCACAGATAGTAAAATTACATTCGATAATACCTAGTAAAT